CAAGCGTTTGTTGAGCACACCTGTAGTCCCAACTACTCAGAAGGCTGAGGCAAGAGAATGGCTTAAGCCCAAAAGTCAGAGGTTACTGTGAGCTATGATGCCACAACGCTCTACCGAGGGGATATAGTGAAACTTGGGCTCAGGTGCAAAAAAAAAAGATTTCTTCAGCTCAAGAGTTTGAGGTTACTGTGAGCTATGACATGACGGTACTCTACCCAGCAGGACAAAGTGAGACTCTTATCTCAAAACAGAAAGAAAAAAAAAAAGCACAAGTCCAGCTTGCTAATGGCTGAGGAAAGTAAGAGTAAAGCCTAAGTAAACTCCCCTAAGCACGGTCCATGTCTCTCCTCATTTTCTTCAGTTTACAGTAGTCTTTAACAGTTACTTAAACAGCAAAATGCCTTAAAAAGTTCTGGTTCTAAATATTCTGCTATGTGTAGCTTAAGACATTTTATACATCTCGACTCTTTATTTTCAAAGTAATTCTTCTTTTTGAGACAGAGTCTTACTGTCACTTTGGGTTGAGTACTACGATCTCGTCATAGCTCAGAGCAACTTCAATTTCCTGGGCTGAAGTTATCCTTCTTCCTCAGCCTTCTGAGTATCAAGGACTAGAGGTAGATGCCACCACACCTACCTCATTTTTCTATTTTTGGTAGAGACAGGGTCTTGCTCCTGCTTGGGGTGGCATCCAACTCCTGGGCTCAAACTATCTTCCTACCTCAGCCTTCCAGAGGGCTAGGATTACAGGTGTGAGCCACCACAACCAGCCATTGAAGTTAATTTTTAAGAAATTACAATTGATGGGCAGCGCCTGTGGCTCAGTGAGTAGGGTGCCAGCCCCATATACGGAAAGTAATGGTTCAAACCCAGCCCTGGCCAAACTGCAACAAAAAAATAGACGGGTACTGTGGCAGGTGCCTATAGTCTCAGCTACTTAGGAGGCTGAGGCAAGAGAATCACCTAAGCCCAAGAGCTGGAGGTTGCTGTGAGCTGTGACGCCACAGCACCTACAGAGGGTGACAAAGTGAGACTGTCTCTAAAAAACAAAAAGAAAGAAAGAAATCGCAATGGACAAGACTTCTAGATATGGCTCATTAAAAAGCAGAAAGACACCAGGGACACGTACTAGGGAGGAATCTAGCACAGAACCATCATGGAGACAACAAAGACTTTATTTCAACTATAAAAGCATAAACCAAAGAGAATCTAGTTTTAAGGTTATGGAGTAAGGACATCTTGATCACCCTCAGGAATTTACAAGCAGGTAAGTGAATAAAAGAAAGGGGACTCTTAAGCTCATACATTTTTCGACCTCCATCATACATTCTGTATATCTTATTGAACATTTATGAAAAGGTATAACTGAGGTATACCAATTTTAAAAGTGAAAAAACAAAATGATTTGCCAAAGTCAAAACAATAGCAATGGAGACAATTTCACAACTATAAGTTAAATTCCAAAAATCATGTATGTGGTTAACTGGCAGGATCTATGCTAACAAATGAGAAGAATAAAGTCCATCTTCGGGCTCGGCGCCTGTGGCTCAAGCGGCTAAGGCGCCAGCCACATACACCTAAGTTGGCGGGTTCGAATCCCCAGCCCGGCCTGCCAAACAACAATGATGGCTGCAACCAAAAAATGGCCAGGCGTTGTGG